TCCCTCCCTCCAGTGCTGAAGGGTGTGAAGCCCGGAAAAGGCAAGAGCTGAGCTTGCAGGCTTTTGACTGTTGATACATCTGCTGAGCAATCAGGCCCCTCCCTCCCTCTGCTAATCTTGAAAGGCGGGAACCAGGAGACACACAAAAAAACTCAGCACAGACCAAGGAGTTGTTGGAGGCTCGAGGCACGGCCCGTGACACTAACCATGGGTATAACTCATAACTTCTTGGAGTGTGGGGGCTTCCCTCCTTCACCCCCAGCAGATCAAGGCCACCACTTCAACTGACAGACGTGGAAGCATCGCTGGACCCCGTGGGCGGTGACTGTATACATCTGTCCACTCTCAGCTTTTCTTTCCCTTACTCTCCCTTGCTCTTATCCTGCCTTTCTCTCCCCTATGCATTTTCTCCCCCCCTCCAAAGGTTATCTCTGTGTCACGTTGTATGATAGCACCCAAACTGTTAGCATGCCTGTTGATACAGAATTGTTAAAATAAACCTTGCCAGTGTATGTTTTTAGACACCGATTATTTAGTGTCGTTTCACTTTAATCCACCCCAAGGGAATTATTGATAAAAACCTGAGTTACCCCCTCTCCCCTTTTCCTGGGGCGGGTCGTAACAATCATACTTACTAATATGCTGAAAACTTGGAAGGTAAACCAGGCTGCAAAAGCCCAAAGTAATTTTAAGCAGCTGATCTCAAACTACAGGCACTGCTGGGCAGTATGTCACATTTAAATTTATTTCCATACTTTGACACACTTCTCATGTTACAGTACCACACTTCTTATCCTCTTCTCAAAAACAAAGAGAAAAGTCATTTGCTTCAATGACTAAAGAGAAAACTGTGGATTCACCATCACCAAACCCAGGCGCTGTGCCCTTTCTGGGCAGCGACAGAGACCCAAAGGTTATACCTTGTGAGGGGAGGGCTATACAGGTAGGGAGAGGAACATCTCAGACACATCAGCTCAATGGAATCATAGAATCACAGAATCCTTTTGGATGCAAAAGTCCTCTAAGACCACCAAGTCCAACCACTGACCCAGCACTGCCAAGCCCACCACTGAACGACGTCCCCAAGTGCCACATCCACTCGTCTCTTCAACACCTCCGGGGCTGGTGACTCCCTGGGCAGCCTCTTCCAGTGCTCGAACACCCCTTCCCTGAAAAAATTTGTCCTTATATCCAACCTAGACCTTCACATCGTGGTCTACATTATACTTCCAGTATTGCGTCCAAAGTTGATGGGGTGGGGGGTGTGTATGTGTGGAGAAAACGCAGACTCTCACACTTCCGTGGGGTTTTTGCCCATGAGTGCTTGTTAGGGAAGGACTAAAGGCCTGAATGTATAGTTCTGCCTTTAATTTTTATCGTAGCTATTAGCTACCAGTTCTCTTTGGTCCTGTGACAAAGTCCACCAAAATCCTCCAG